TGTTGGTCTGGACACCAACACATGTCCCCTCCAGGTCTTTCTATCTTCCCCTTCTTTCATAAGATTCCCTGCAATCTGCCCAAAGTTTGGCTATGAGTCTCAGCCTCTACTTTGATGCCTCAAACAGAGGTCTTTCAGAGGCCCTCAGTGGTAGGTGCCTGTCCTGTCTTTTCCTGCTTCCAATGTTTATCACATTTGTCCTTCTGAATGAGGATTGAGCATCTTCCCTAGGGTCTTCCTTGTTTTTTAGCTTCTTTAGGAGTATAGATTTTAGTGTGTTTACTCTATATTACATGGCTAATATCCACTTACCAGTGAGCATATGCCATGTGTATCTCTCTGCTCTAGGTTACCTCACTCAAGAAGATCTTTTCTAGTTCCCACCATTTGCCTGCAAATTTCATGATTTCCTTGCTCTTAATAGCTGAGTAGTATTCCACTGTGTAAACGTACCACATATCCATTTCTATATCCATTCCTCCACTGAGGTTGTTTTCAGATTCTGGCTATTACGAATAAAGCTGCTATGAACATGGCTGAGCAAATGTCCTTGTATAGTTGAGCATAGTTTGGATATATGCCTAGGAATGGTATAGCTGGATCTTGAAGGTAGCACTATTCCTAATTTTCTTAGAAAGCGCCAGATTGATTTCCAAAGTGATTGTACAAGTTTACAATCCTATCAGCAATGGAGGAGGGTTCCTCTTTCTCCACATCTTCTCCAGCATGTGTTGTCACTTGAGTTTTTGATCGTAGCCATTCTGATGGGTGTAATGCTAAGTCTCAGGGTTGTTTTGATTTACATCTGCCTGATTACAAAGAATGTTGAACATTTCTTTAAGTGTTTCTCTGCCATTCAATATTCTTCTATTGAGAATTCTCTGTTTAGCTGTGTACCCCTTTTTTTGTTTTTTGTTTTGTTTTGCTTCTTTTGTTTTCTTTTTCAAGACAAGGTTTCTCTGTGTAGCCCTGGCTATCCTGGACTCTCTTTGTAGACAAGGCTGGCCTCAAACTCAGAGATCCACCTGCCTCTGTCTCCCAGAGTGCTGGTATTACAGGCATGCACCACTGAGCCCAGCTCAGTGTACCCCATTTTTTATTTGGATTATTTGATTTGTTGGTGTTTAACTTCTTAAGTTATTTATATATTCTGGATATGAGTCCTCTGTCAGATAAAGGGTTGGTGAAGATCCTTTCCCAATCTGTAGGCTGTCATTTTGTTCTCACAACAGTGTCTTTTACTTTACAGGTTTTCGGTTTCATGCAGACCCATTTGTTGATTATTGCTCTTAAAGCCTGTGCTGTTGGTGTTCTGTTCAGGAAGTTGTCTCCTATAAGGCACAGCATCTTTAAAACAAAAATTCCTCCTGGAATTTCTCCAGCTCACACCATTGACTTTCTCTCCAGGAATTAGAAACCATAATAAGCACAAGGGTCTCAGCAAAGTAGCAATGAGAAGTGCCCACAAAGCCTGATAGAGATAAAGAATTTTTTTTTCAGCAGCACCTTATACTCTATAACAGATAAAAGTAGACAAGTGGGTCTTTCACACTATGGCTTCTGCCCTTCCTTTTTCTTGTTCGCTATTGAACGGTTGCACTGCCCAGTGTAATGCACACACAGTTGATGTTGTTCACAGACAGGTACTTCTATCCCCCAGCTCTTGGCCTTCTGGCTGCTCCTTCAGTGTTGTTGGTGAACACAGAGTGGAGTTTGCAGCCTATCCTAACCACAGAGCCATTTGGAAAGATGGCGTTGAAAATGACACCATCTATCCCAGTACACTTCCAGAGACTCAGGAAAGTGAGGCTGGGGTGGCCACATCACAGGAGGAGGTGGCTTTCCCCTGTGCTCAGAGTGAGAGCCCCAGAGGCCGTGTGAGTCCTCCCCTTGAGCTGGCCTGACTTCAGGACACTTCTCCGTACGATTCAGTGCCTGCTTCTGCATACTGGAAAGGACAGATGTGTGGATGGCACCAAGGCAGGCAGACATTCAAGTAATGGGAAAAGCACATCTTGCCATCCAAGGAGCCTGAACATGGGGCTGACCCCAAGTCTGAATTTCATGGACAGTGACCTTAGCTACGTTCTCTCTTACCTGTTTTCTTTAAAGCACAATCTTATTCTAGTGGAATATTAAAAGAAAATGATATGTTAAAAGTGTCCAGACACTCTTAACTGTGACTTAACATTAGAATCCTAAAAAGAGAGGAAATACAGCGCATTATGATTTTAATACCCCCAACTGTACTGTAGATGTAACTTTTCTCTACCTTTTATCTCTCTATCCATAGTGTGATTTATGCTTATGATTTGACCTGGGGTGGGGGGAATGTCGTTTAGTTGGCACGTCTAATTCATCACTTTGCCTTTGTAACATTTTGGAAAACGAGGTCGATAAATCCATTAAAGCTGTGTTTGCCGTTTCTGAAACAGACCTTGATTAGTTCAGAACTGAAATTTCAACAATGGTATCTTTAGGAAGCTGTCTAGAAGACTATGATAACATCTATATTTTTATCGCCTTCCTTTTAAAATTGGAAAATACCATGGTATGAGCTAATAATATAGACAAGTAAAGTAAACACTTATGCTATATAGCACAGTTTCTTGTGTTTGGGGACTTAGATGTAATGTCATCATTTATGAATTTATTATACCCAGTAATTTAAAGCTTGGTGCCTCTGAAATTAGATAAAGGGTAGAAGGACAAAAAAATTGTGAAAACTAGACTCAAAACTCGGTCTTTACCTGAGAGTTCTTTAGTGCAAAGAGTACTTTTGTGAATAAATATAAGACCATCAGGACTTCAGGAAATGGAATTTGATTGCTAAGTGACAAGTAAGTCCTCATGAGATTATGATAATATAAAGTCTCCATTTTACACTAGCAGAAGAGTCTAGACGGTGGAAATCTTCCATCCCTGACATGGGTCTACCTTTCTGGTGACAGGACATTTCTCAGATCCTAGACAGCCACAGTAGACATGAAGGCTCTTTAAAAAGAAATGATCCTGCCAGAAAACTAATTTGCCTTTACGTAGTTTACCTGGCATGCATGATCCCCATGCGCCACTGAACAAGACTAGGCCACTATGGGAAAGAACTGAGTTCCAGATTGAAGCTCCCATCGTAACATTTTTTTAATTTGTTGATAAAATATTTATGTTTATGGCGGTCCATCTAGTTCAGCTCTATTATAAAATCCCAGTACTCTAACATTGAGATGCTCTATAATACAGTCTCCTTAGTCTGCTTGACTATTCTTAAGTTGCCCCCTCTATAAATTTTAATAAAGAATAATCACATATGTGATTATATATCCACGTAAAGCTGACTTACATATTAAACATGAGGAGGATAATTTTTTGCAAGAAAATTTTACAATCATTTTATCAACAGTGTGCATTATGGCCTAGAATGATTTGGTAGTAACTTTTAGGCAATTTGGGGGAATATGATAAACTATGTTAAGTTCATCATAAAGGCAGAACCATCTGCCAGTCTTGGATGCATCTCAGCTCATCCTAACATAATCCTCATTTTCCTGGGTATTTATTGGCAAGGGGTTTATACACAGGTATCTTCTGCACATCTCAGATGAAACCCCTAAAATAGTGTAGGAATGTGTCTTTGGACGGAACTGTAAAGGAAGGTGAGGACTACCTGATGATCATAGGAAAGAAATTATACCATTGTGAGCCGGAGTAGTAGCACATGCCTCTGAACTCAGCACCAGAAAGGCTGAAGCAGGAAAATCCCGACTTTGACGTCAGCCTGGGGTACACAGTCGTCCTTGTCTGGAAGAAGAAATAAAAGAAGGAAGGCAGAAAGGAGGGCAAAGAGAGAGAAGGAAAGAATTGTAACAATGAAAGGGTACAGGGGTGTGGTGTTTCCACAGTCCTGGTGAAAAAAAAAAAGAACACGTAATCTTGGATAGCGAGTTTTAATTACAAGCAAGTTAAAAACAAAAAGATATTTTCATGCAAGCTTTTCTTTGCCCCCTAAAAATGCTGTTGAAGAGTTATCTGGGATAAAGCACAGGGTGAGTTACGGGAGTCTCTCGTGGTTTTGAAGGAGCTCATCTTGCCATCTGCACAAGGAAGGACTTGTGGATCTTCACAGAGCCTTGCGTCCCCATCTGTCCCTCCCTGTTTGGTGCAGCAGCTTTGGGAAGCACCATAAAACTCAGGGACAGTTTAGTGGCGTCATTTAGCATGCTCAGTAATTAGACAGTCTCTACATCGTCAGCACCCCTCTGAAGGGGAAGAGTGGACCTGCATGCATCCATGTTTACACCTCACAAATTTGAATCCAGGAGAGAAAGGTCTCCAAATAATTCCACTACAGAGAACCAGGATCTTCAGGGTGGTAAAATTCTGAATGTGAGACATTCCTATACTTAAATGGTATTTCATGGTGATGTTAATGAACGTTAGACATATCGTAGGCCACGTCATAATTCTCATGCAGGTTCTCTGTTGCTAGAACGAACAAGTTTAACTGAATTACTTGGGCACAACTTCAGCTATCCGAATTATTAGGAATCTCAAAATATTTGGACTGGTGTTAAATCAGTATGATCATTGATTAAAATTTTCAGTTTTCATCTTAGCATTTTATTAAAAAAAGTATCATTAGATGGTTTTGAAGGACTCTTCTTAAGCAGATTTTGGGTTCCTAGTTTACATACTTCCAAATAAATATTCTTATTGTAAAATATAAAAATCTAATAATATTTGGAAATGACATTTTTCATGCTGATAAAGAACCATATTTTATTATTTTCATGGATGAAAATACATGAACATATGTATTTACATATAGGCAAGTAAATCTATCACCAACTTCCATGGAATTTAGAAACAACGAACAAAAAGAGATTAAATTTGAGCACAAGGTTTGGGTTGTGGGAGTTACAGTATCAACCAAAAGAAAATGAAGATGACTTTTAAATGCCATAAATGAATTTTCAACTTTAATTCCCCATTTTCCCATCCAGAACAAGTGCCACCCAGGACCAGTTTTCGAACGGATTCCTCTGGCAAGTATTCAGAACTCCCAGTTCTCCGCACACACATCTGCCACCTTCTCTAAGCAGTCATTCGCCTGAGCGGTATCAGTGTTTCACCGTGTAATCCTCACCGTGATAACTAGCTCACCTGCATTCACATGTGTTCAGGACAGAGAACAAGCCTCATGGCTGTGGGTCTGTGTGCTTGCAAACCAAAGACAGATATTAATGAATGTCCTTCATAAAGAGGTTATTACAAGACTACACCCAGACCCAGCTGTCAAAGGAAACTGTCAGACTAGGCAGAGCTACGCTATCCAGTAGAGCAGCCACTGGGTACCCAGAATGCAAATGCTGATGAATTATCAAATGTGTGCAAAATCCACACTGGATTTCAAAGACTTACTATAAAAATAAACCTTGTTAATTGTTTTATATTAAGGTGTTATTTGGATAAATTAGTTAGAACACATTATTAAAATTGATATTATCTGTAAAAAAAAATTTAAAGTGCCTGCTTGGCAATATTGAATAAGTTCTATAATTTACATTTTACTTAAATTGAATCTTGCTAAAGCAGATAAATGGAAATAAGAAGATAGAATATCTCAGGAGAGGAAAATTATATATTCCACCAAAAAAATCTTATTAAAGAATTTGCTAATATAGATTGAAATTATTTTAAGCTTAATTAAATACCTATATCAACTTGGGTATTTTTTTTTAATAATTCCAATTACAAAATGTTGTATTTTGATACTATTTAGAGTACAATATTATAGCTTCTAGTTTAAGAACTTAAGAAATATCTTAATAATTTACTTGGATTTTTTTTTAACTTATCTCTTCCAAAAATACATTACCATTTGTGATGTAAGCTAAAATATATAACGTTGTGGTCACGAAGGAGGAAAAAGCAGAGCTAAATAGACCTCCTTTCCCCTGAGTTACTAATGAGACACTCTGAACAGCTGGTTGGAATAGTACTACAGAAAGGAGTGTTTCTTAGTAACAGCTCTGATTCAGGTCTGTGGGCTTCAGCACACTTCCCTGGCATGTTTCTATGAAGACAGCTCATTATCCACCTCAGTATGCTCTAACACCCCTTGGAGAATGCATGCTCTGAAGATCATTCACTCCCTCAGTTTCCATGCTTTTTTTTTTTTTTTTTTGAGTATGTACAAAACATGGAAGATATCACTTAGCATCCTAATAATGTCTGAAGTAATTGTTTAGCTTGGTGTGAAATTTTTAGAGTGTGGCTGTTTTTACTCATTGAGATACTAACTATAAAAATCCTTGTTGTTTTTTTTTTTTTTAATTTTATTTTTTTCTTATCAGTTACATTTTATTAACTCTGTATTCCAGCCGTATCCCGCTCCCTCATTCCCTCCCAGTCCCTCCCTCCCTCTATAAAAATCCTTGTAATGTTTAAAAATATCTTATGCCCAGGGAGAAAATGAGGCCTAGTAATTATGTTTGAAAGTGAAATCAGGGTTTAAATGTGGCCTCAGAAAATATAATTCTTGAAAAATCTCATTGTCTAAAAGTATTTTACTTAGGAATAAAAGAAGAGGAAAAGGGTTGCCCAACAGCTTAGGTTATCTTGATATATGTACGAAGTCATACATCACATCCAAAAGGTAAAAGATAAAAGCTATAGTTTGAGTACCTTATTCTAATGTGTGACTCAATTTTTCAAGAAAAAAACCAATCCAAATATTTTGTTAAGTATACACATAAATTATCAAAATATAGAAAATCATGACTATATTCAACAAATAGCTCTCTAATAAAAATTTTTACAGGGTTAAAATAACCTCTGATAAAATTATCAAAGGCAGGTCAATCAGACAAATAAGCCTAAATACAGAGCAGCACAGAAACCACTTGCAAAGGGAAATTTTGCTTAGGGTGTTTCTTTAGAATCCTAGACCATAAATGTCAAATCAGCAGTATCAATGAGTACAGAAATCAATTAAATGAAAAAAGAAGAAAAACTCTGTCCAATATGTTTATTAAAGTATTATAAGAAACTTAAATAATTCAGTAATCAAGCTGGGCATGATGGCACATGGCTTTAAATCCAGCCCTTGGGAGGCAGAGGCAGGCATATCTCTGTGAATCTAAGGCCAGCATGGTTTACAGTGTGATTTCTGGGACAGTCAAGGGCTACACAGTGAGACACTGTCTCAAAAAAGAAAGAAAGGAAGGAAGGAAGGAAGGAAGGAAGGAAGGAAGGAAGGAAGGAAG